GTTTGCACTGTTCAATATGTTGATTTTCCAAGAAAATGCAGCCACTCAAATTTCAGAAACAGGTTTCCTAATTTTTAAGCATCACCATCAAGTTCAGGTAAACACTGAGCTGTTCTGAGCAGGTGTTGGCTGGTTTGACTGCAGGGGACCCTTGCCAAACAGGAAGTGATAACACTCTCAGATGCTGCTAACAGACAGACTGGGGCCACAACCATCCCAAACCAGGCGTCTAACACCTCACTCTCATTTGAGCAGAAGAGGACAAAGGAGAAGAACAAAGGACAAAGGAGATACACGTGCTCATGTGTCCCATGTGCTTGGAGTCATATTGTCATTTTCTGTCCTTTAGTGCTTGTATAGTTATTTATTCATATATAGTTATCTATATAGTTATTTATTCATAGAGACATTTCAATATATTTGCTAACCTTGACCTCAGGAACTCCAGAGTTTCAGTTTGCTTTTATCATGTATTTCCTCCTAATTCTTACAAAATGGCTTCCTCTGCTTGATAGAGAGAGGGGGGAGGATGTGTGCATAGTTAGGGACAACTTGGGAAGCAGACAGAGGTCCCGTGTGAACACACATGCCTAAGTTATAAGTCTCTGTGGAGGCTTTTGCCTGTTTTGAACAGAGTCAGCACAGGTAAGACCCAGTAATTACCATTTCAGATAACTAGACAACACACTGATCTCAAGAAACAGCCATGCTGTCTGCTCACAAATGGTCCCTCTCCACATCCCAATAAATTGAAGTCACACCACAATAGTTAGTTATTGTTTTGAATGGAATCAATGAAGTGTTCAGGGATGACATTTCTTAGATAAGTGGCTTCAAAATGGTTTGCCTACTATGTGCAGTAAGAATTTGTGTGTGTGTGTGTGTTTGTTTATGTGTGTGTTTGAGATACATTTTGTATTACAGTTTTATATACAAAAGTTTATTGATGTAGTACTTACTTTTACTAAAGTCATGTTCTAGAGAACTCAGGCTAATGCAGCCACTCAGCTCTTTCAATGCTAGTGTCATTCACTGAAGGAACCATGGATTGGATATTCACTGGGTGGCAGACACAGGTGTCATATCTAAGGCCATGCAGACAAAGCAAGACTATTCTAATATCTCTTGTTAAGAACAGAGCACAGTGTGCACAAGGATCAATGGAGTCACAGAGGGATCATACTCTGGGGCAGTGGCCTTAGAGGAGCAAGAATGTTCTGGGTCTAGCCAGGTTCTCATTACTACCTCAGTACTCTCCAGAATGGGTACTTTGTGTGTGTGTGTGTGTGTGTGTGTGTGTGTTTCTCAAGACATGGTTTCTCTGTGTAACCCTGGCTGTCCTGAAACTCACAATGTAGACCAGGCTGGCCTCAAACTCACAGAGATCTGCCTGCCTCTGCCTCCTGAGTGCTGGGAGTAAAGGCATGTGCCACAACTGCCAGACCAGAATGGGTACTTGACTAGGAAAGGATCCTGGTTAGAGGAGGGGTGGGTACAGAGGTCTGTGATGATGGCGGAGCTGGAGTCTTCAGAGAACAGTCGGGTAGGAGGGGGTTAGTGGGTGAGGGCGTGGAACTGTTGAAAGGGGTCTGGAGGTCTCTCAGCCCGCTTGAGTTTAATCTTCCCAAATAGGAGACAAAGGATCTCATTTCTTATCGTGACATTCAAGAGTTAATGACAAACTGCAAAGACAGAGTCTTAAGCTTAGAACACAGAAAGGATTCACGAGGTCCCGACCTTTCCTCTAGCTGTAGCTCAGGTTGAAATCACAGAGCTTTAGACTTGGGGAAAAGAGAGTGTGGATCTCTTGCTTCACTGATTCTATAAGCATGTCCACACGGCTGCTCAACAGGGAGCCAGGTTGGAAGCTGGCCTGCGTAGGCCCGGGCGCTAGCCTATGACTATAGGACTTCAGTTTCTAGGGCAGGGCATTGGATGGCGGTGGGAGGTGCTGGGGAGGGGGATGCCTGCTCTGATGGCTCCGTTTGCCTGTCTCTGCTTCCTGCGTGGGGTAGAAGCATCCCTCACAGGTGGTCATTCTCTAGTAGAGGATGAGTTACTGTTTAAGAAGTTTAGGCAAAGGCAGTGGGTCGCTGTGGCCTGTTGTGGTACCCCTGGTTGAAGCAGCAGATGTTTGGGTTTGCAATGTTCCTTAACGATGGCTTTTTCAGTTCGGACTTTTTCTCCCAGGATCTGGGGGAAGCTGCTCAGCGTCCAACCCACTTAACATGTTAGGACTCTTGACTTCTCCCACTGGTGGATGGGAACACAGCACTGTTAGAAAGCTAATGTGAGGAATAAATCACCTTGGAATTTGTTTAAATTGCTAACTTCGGGGCCTCGCTTCACACATTCCATTTCTTAAATCTTGGAGGGAACCACAGAAACTTACAATTCTTCAGGGATGCTGATGGAAGCATTCTATCGATTCGTGTCTTAAATTTTTTTAGGGGAGAAAAGGAATATAGGGTTGAGTGAAACACGACGAGGTCCTAGCTTTGACTAACCACTGAGGACACTCGGGTCCCTTTACTGAAACTTCCAGGAAATCTATACAGGTTTACCTGTGGAGGAGAGAGAGGGTATGCGAAGTACACCGGAAGAAAAGATGCTGCTGCAATTCATTTGATTTAATAAGATGGAGTCCCAAAACCCATGGGGGGGGGGGAGGTCTTAGTGGCAGCTTCCACAGTTCCCACAAGGTGGCGCCCTTCTGCATCAAATTGAAGCACAGCCGATCCCATCAATTTAGGGGCTCAATATAAATGCCCTTGGGTTTAATAGTATGCATTAATTTTAAGAGGAGGGGAAAGGAAATTATTTACTAGGAAAGGCTTCAGATTTAAGGTTCCATCAAATGTCATAGCCTAGATGGAGGAATTTAGTGAGATATCCACAGTAGATTCAGAGAGAAGATAAAAATTTGAGAAAAGGTCTCTGTAAAATGAAAAATGTCACTCAAAGGAAGTGTCTTAAAAGCATTCCAAAATTCTGAATTTTTGGAGAACTAGCAGGTGTACCCGGTCATTAACACACAAAGCAGCAGCCTCTGGTAAAATTTCTTTCTTTCTTTTTTTTTTTTTTTTTTTTTTTTTTTGTTGGTGTTGTTGTTGTGTAGTCAGGACCAGAGAATGAAGAGGGAAAAGAGGGGACAAAGCTCCCTGGGGTGGACCACAGTAACAGCAGGCCACATACACCCTGTTGTCCTGGAAGGGCAGTGACAGGTAAAAGAGACCAAACAGGCTGGGAACAGGGTAAGAGGGAGCGTTGGGACATCATAGGGCGTCCTCACTGTGGGGCACAGCTTTGTGCCTCTGGGAGGCTGAGAAATCAGCCAGGTCTCAACCTGATTGGATTTTGAAAAGGCAGTTTGTAAATCGAACCTCTTACGTGGCTTGTGAAGGTGTTTCCAGAGGGCTTTAATGAGAGTGACTCAGTCCTGAATGTGGGTACCATCAACCCATAGACTGGGGCTTAGACTGGTTGAAAAAGGAGGAAGCCCACCTCACAGGCCTTAGCCCACCCTCGCAGGGCTTCCTGACTGCCAAGAGCTGAGTCCCTCCTCCCCACCATGCCCTCCCCTCCATGGTGGGTGGAAGCCGTTGGAACAGTAAGCTGAAATAACCCTTCCCAGTTGTAAACTGTTTCTCTAAGATATCTGTCACAGTGTTAGAAAGAGTGACTAATACAGTGGGGGTTGACAGTAAGGTCAAAGGCACTGTCACACGGGGAAAGGCTGGAGATGTCAGACAAGCATGGCTTTGTCCTACACTCTCATCTCAGCTCCATCTAGGAGGAAGACTTCTGGAAGGGAAGAAGGCCTCACAGAAGGAGGCAAGGGTCATGGGGCCGGAGAAAGTGGTGAAGATGGCCTTTGGGGCTGAAGCCTTCATCTCTATCATTTTTTAAATTTAAATTAGAAATAAGCTTGCTTCACATGTCAGTCCCAGCTCCCTCTTCCTCCCCTCCTCCCAGGTCTCCTGTCAACTCCTCCCCACCCTCTCTGCTCTCCAGGGAGAGTGAGGCCCTTCATGGGGGATCTTCAAAGTCTGCCATGTCACCAAGGCAGGACCTAGGCCATCCCCCATATATCCAGGAGAGCATCCCTCCATGTGGAATGGGCTCCCCAAGTCCATTCGTATACCATGGATAAATGCTGATCTACTACCCAATGCCCCATAGATTGTCTAGGCCTCCTCACTGACACCCACTTTCAGGGGGTCTAGATCAGTCCCATGCTGGCCTCTCAGCCATCAGTCTGTGGTCCATGAGCTCCCCCTTGTTCAGGTCAGCTGTTTCTGTGGGTTTCACCAGCCTGGTCTTGACCCCATTGCTCATCACTCCTCCCTCTCTGCAACTGGGTTCCAGGAGTTCAGTTCAGTGTTTAGCTGTGGATGTCTGCCTCTGCTTCCATCAGCCACTGGATGAAGGCTTTAGAATGGCATATGAGGTAGTCCTCAATCTCATTATCAGGGAAGGACATTTAAGGTAGCCTCTCCACTATTGCTTAGTTTGCCAGTTGGAGTCATCCTTGTAGATCTCTGGAAATCTCACTAGTGCCAGATCTCTCCTCAATCCTATAATGACTTCCTCTACTATGGTATGTCTCATCCTGCTCTCTTCTATTTTTCCCTAGACTCAACCTTCCTGCTCCCCCATGTCCTCCCCTCCCTTCCTCTTCTCCCCTCTCTTTTTCCCAGCTCCCTCTCCCCTCCCGCCATGCTCCCAGTCCACTCAGGAGATCCTGTCCCATTCTCCTTCTCTGGGGAACCATGCATATCTCTCTTAGGGTCCTCCCTGTTTCCCAGACTCTCTGGCAGTGGGATTGTAAGCTGGCACTCCCCTGATTCATGTCTAAAATCCACATATGAGTGAGTACATACCATGTTTGTCTTTTTGTGACTGGGTTACCTCACTCAGGATGGTTTCCTCTAGTGCCATCCATTTGCCTGCATCACTTTTTCATAATTTCCCATCATGCTCTTTGTCTGGAAATGGAAATTGTGCAGGGTCGGAGGGGCAGCTCCTGTCAGGAGAACTGCCTCTAGAAGATGTAGGGAGCTTACAGAGATCCCTGGGACACTCTTCTTTCTTTCTTTGTTTACAGAGGCTCCTCAGACAAGCTTCTTTGCTTTTTTTTTAATCACCACCACAAAACAGCATTTGGGCTCATGCTCTTGGGGTGTTGCCCTTGGCATGAAGGCTACTCTCTTTCTAGACAATGCCTTTGACTTTTACAGAGAAGCAGAACAATGTGGAGCCTGGGAACCATCTCGGGGTCCTGACAGTTTTGAGGGCAGCTGTCTTTCCACCTCACCATGGAAACACAGAGGAGAACACGGAAAATGAACAAGGCTGGGAATCTCTGTGCAACAGATCTCTCCGGGGCCCTGTGCTGCCAGATGATTGGCGGAGGCGCTTGCATGGTGAGAAACGGGATACTCAATAGGCAGCCCATGGACAACACATTTTCATTGTTTCATCCACAGCTCTGGAGATGTGGCTTCATCCATGTGGACACACGGAGGTTTCACGCCTTGCCAACTGCCAGGCCACCCCTGAGTCATGCTTAATGTAAACTGCATAGGTCACGTAAAGGCAAGAGTTTGTTTACTGACTCCTAAATTAAAATAGTATCTCACACTGAGTGAGCTAGAAGCCTTCTCTTCCTGGACGTATGTCACTGACTTAGGTCAGTTGACTCACACTCTCAGGACCAGAGATGGAGAAACACACAGAGGCAGGTTGGTGTGTAAGAAGTAACTTTTTTTTTTTAGCTCAGCATGGCAGCACCTTTCATAATCTCAGTTTGCCATGTGTGATAGTCTGAATGTAATTGGTCCTCATAAACTCATAGGGAATGGCACTGTTAGGAGGTATGGCTTTGTTGGAGTAGGTGTGGTCTTCTTGGAGGAAGCATGTCACTATGGGGTCTGGCTTTGAGGTCTCCTATGCTCAAGATACCACCCACTGTCTGAGTGGACTTCCTGTTGCCTTCTGATTGCATGCCATCATGCTCCTGCCATGATAATGGACTCAATCTCGGAAACTGTAAGTCAACCCCAATTCAATGTTGACCTCATAAGAGTTGCTGTGGTCATGGTGTCTCTTCACAGCAATAGAAGTCCTAACTAAGACAGCATGGCAGTGCATCCTACATCCTAGTATTGAAGAGGTGGACATGAGATGACTTGGACGTTAAGGCCAATCTCAGCTACGTAGTGAGCCAAGATCAACCTGGACTACGAGACCCCACCTCACAAAATAAATAAATTGATTAAATGAAATAAAATAAGGAAATTGTTGTTGCTTTGTTTCTTTGCACAAATATGTGTACTCTCCCAGGACCACCCTCCAGCAGGAAACTCCCCTTTCTGTGAGCCAGGAATCCTGTCTTCAGACATCAGCTACAATTCTGCCTTAAAGAAGACAAGTCCAGCCTTTAAACAAGTAATAACTAAAGTTTAGTAACATTAAATTGCATACTTAATTCAAACTAAGCCCACCATTCTCAGATCAAACACAACCAATTTTCTTATATTTAGACTTCAGAGTAACGGTGAATTGTTTTACAGTAAGGCTTCCTTTGAAGCAGACACTGTGTTGATAGGCAGCCTAATTTTCAGAATCTTAGTCGCTTTTAAGTTTTTTAGATGTATTTATTTTATGTGCATGGGTATGTTGACTACCTGTATCTGTGCACCATGTGTGTGCGCCGCCTGAGGAGGCTATTGGATCCCCTGGAACTGGTGCGAGCTGCCCTGTGGGTGCTGGCAACTGGGCCCAAGTCCTGGAAAAGCAGCAACCTTTTTTATACACTGTGTGAAGATGTGTTTCTGTCCTTCTTCACTTGCCTAAAGCATCTCCTGATTGTTTAATAAAGAGCTGAATGGCCAATACCTAGGCAGGAGAGGCTAGTCAGGACTTCTGGAGTGGCAGAGCACAGATTAATATAAATGCCCACGTATACACAAGCACAGGGCCTGAGAAAACTGAGAAAAGTTCTGGACATGGAGCCAGATGGGGCTTCCTAGCAACCACAGTCTCTCAGGCAGTCCTGGTGCTTGCGGTGTACGGAGGTGTGGGTCTTTTAAGAGCCTCCGCCGTGCAGCCAGCCAAGCACTTAAGTGGGACCTGTGGACAGCCAGTGTGCTACCGGGTGGGAGACTAGGTAGAAAGGCCTACCACAGTGCGGGCCCAGCAACTTCCCAGAACTGGGGTGGGCAGACACAGCTCTTGGCTGGTCCCCTTGTGCTCGAGGCTAGACTCTCACGGAAGAGAAAGAAGCAGCTCCAGCCCAGAATCAGTGGGGTAGCCTGCTGGACCAACCTGAAGGGGGCGGAACCAGCCATCAGCACCTTGTGCTAACTGGAGCTGCACAAGGAGCCTGCAGATGAACAGAAAAGCAAGAGGGACATTTTCCCAGAGCCACAGTGGGCAGAAGCCACAGGCTCTCTGGCAGGCTTGTGAATGCTTGCTCAGTGCGATTGCCCCTTCCTGTTGGTTGGGTGGCCTGGCCCTCTAATGCTTGGCTCATGCAATCAGAGAAGAGCTGCAGAGAAACAGGTGCAGGCTCGCAGAAAGCCAGGCCCAGACCAAGAAAACCTCTGAATGGGTACAGTATGCTTCAAAATGTGCTTAGGTGCTGAAGAAAGAAATGAATGTAGGCATAGAGAGTCATAGAAAAAAGTAGTTTGAAATTAATAAAGTTGTTAAGAGAAGCTTTATCTTTTGCTAGCTGCTTTGGTTTATCCCCCGCCAGTCGCCTGGGCTCTGCCGCGCCAGCCTGGTTCTAGATCCGCATGAGTCCCAAATAAACACACAGGAGGCTATATTAATTATGAAGCTGTTGGCCTTGTTTGTCTCTTACTGGCTAGCTCTGACTTAAGTAATTACCCCATAATTGTTAATCTAAGTATGTTTCTTACCGGAGAATAGTTCCCGGCGTCCTACCCCCATGGCGTCACATGTTGACTCTCTCTTGTGTTTCCCCTTCCCAGAATCCTCCTCGACTCCTAGTCCCTCCTATCTAGGTTTTCTATTGGCCAGACAGTACTTTATTGACAAATGCACAGGCAAATAACAGGACTTCCCCAACATAAAGTGAAGTCTTTACAGAGAGAGTACAGTAATATAAGTCACATATGGATGGGAAATGCTATAGCACAGGGCATTTGAACCCTGTATAGTGCTTTATTACTTTAAATGCTAATGAGCAAAACAACCCTAGCTGCTGAGAAACGTTGGATTGTGGGAAAAACTTCTAAATGAAATCATCCTATATATTTTAAGACTGTCTTAACTTCAGAATAGAAGTCAGAAAAATGTGTTGCATTAGGGCGGAGATTATGCCTTTGTTTCCACAGGAAACAAAAGACTGTGGATTTCTTCATAATTAAAGATCAAATTTAATGGGGGAGACCTTCTGAAAAATCTTGGCTACAGACGTGAAGAAAGAAACCAAGGAAGGTAACAAGACAGGTGACATATACAATGATCGTTCTACATGGGAACAGCTCTGAGACTGGATGAGACATGATAAATCTTGTTGGCTACAGAGTCCTCATAATAGTTTGGTTGTACAGTCCAAACAGACTTACAAAGTTGAAAAATGCCTTTTACCTGCTCCAATGTAGGACAGAAAACCATCTTTAGCTGACTTAAGCATACCACACATTCCATACTTGTGTTACTGCAGAAGGAATTTCTTCCTTCCTTCCTTTCTTTCTTTTTCCTTTCTTCAAATGTGACAAAGCTAGCCTCTGGGAAAGAAACTGCCCTTGCCTCAACTTCTGGCACTATACTGTACAAATTGAATAAGCAGGACACAAGAGAAGATGACTGCTGAACTTCGCTAAGACAGGGTAGGCCAGTCCTTCAAAATTCCTGCTTCACAGAAAAGTCTGTCAGATACTCTGGGTTTGTAGGCTGAAGAAGGATGCTCCAGTGTTGCAGAGGAACCTTGAGTGACTGTCCAGGCACTCATCTGCTTCTGTCATCTGTTTTGGAAATTGATTACTCTCCACTTCTGTTTACTCAGGTAATATTATCTCCTTCTCAGGTTGAAGATGAGATAGTTATAGTTTTCATTATTACCAAATTCAGAAAAGAAACTCACAAAAGAGATGCAAAATTTGTAAAGGTTGAGAGACATAAAAGTTTAAGTTGTCTATGTAAGAAAATGCTTTAAGGTCTAAAAAGATATTTTTGGCTGGTAATGAAAGTTCTGATAGAAAGTGGTTTAAGTGTAAAACTTTGGACTCACCAAGAGAAGATGGGTAATAGAGTACTTTCTCTGAAGTTATCAAATACAAATGAACTAGACATTGTGAATGTAATTCTTACCTGACAATTTTTCTTCTTGTACATTGTTTATTGATGTTAGAGAAAGACCCTTTTATTAGGCTAAAACTGGGGAGATGTTGGGATAATCTTTTTGTACACCGTGAAAAGATGTGTTTCTGTCCTTCTTCACCTACCTAAGGCATCTTCTGATTGGTTTTATAAAGAGCTGAATGACCAATAGATAGGCAGGAATGTGGTATGATATTTTGATTGCATTCTGGAAATAAAGCTTGTTTTGAATCAGAGGGCAGAGCTAGCCACTAGCTGATCAAAATTAGCCATAGAGGTTTTTATGAGGAAGTAATAAAGCAGGGTGTACAGAGGATCTTGGCTCTTTTGGATTGAGGAATGGAAGAGAAGAGGAGGTGAGTGGTGGCTTCTCTGCTTCTCTGCTCATTCAGGTTCTTACCTCAATATCTGACTCCTAATTTTCTTATTGATAAAGAATAATTTGGTTAACACATCACAGAAGAGGATAGATGGGAATTCCAGAGAGAGAGATAGGAATGCTGGGGAAAAAATCCAAGGCAGGAGATTCACCAGCCAAACACAGAGGAAGTCGGACAGTGGTGGCCGGGTGGTGGTGGCACAGGGCTTTAATTCCAGCACTTGGGAGGCAGAGATAGGCAAATCTGTCTAAAAAAAAACCAAACCAAATAAATAAATAAATAATAAAGTGCTAGTGGTGACCAAGCCTAAGCTAAGGTTGATCTTTTGTAATTAATAAGAAGCCTCAGTGTCGTTTGGGAGCTGGCAATCCAAAGAAACACGTGATACATTTGCCCCGATACATCTCTCGACTGGATTTGGCCTCTCACCTTGTAGTCAATTTTGTAACTTAACCCTCAAACCTGACTCCAGCATCTCTACCAACAGATCCACCAGCAGCTCCCTCCAGGCATTTGTCTGCTTCAGTGAAACGTCTTGAGCCCTGAAATGGCCTCTTTAACTTACATCCATTCTCTAAACCATACATATGTATATGCATATATATAATAATAACATATATGTGATATATAAGATAAAATATATGTATACATGTGTATATATATGTGTGATATGAGAGCTAATATTAGTAATTTAGATTGGGATAAAGAATTTGGATGTGCCTCAGCCACGTTGCCAGGATTTATGACAAATCACTATCATTGAAACCTCTAAACCTTGTGGTTTTATTGTTATTCAATGAATGCTGACATTGCGGAAAGACACAAGCATGTTTGTTTATGTTTCTGACATATTGCATTCACCATATGGCCACTGTGATAAAGAGACAATGATTTTAAGGGTTGAACAAAATCATTCTGGGTGTGGTGGAGCATGAGAGACATTCATGAGGCAGAAGCAGGTGATCTGTGAGTTTGAGGCCAGCCCAGGGTACATAGTGAGAATTTCTTGAAAAAGGAAATCTAGAGAAAATTCTTATTAAACATTGTTATGTTAAATACATGATTTAAATATCAATTAAAATTCAGTCCTATGAGCGCATATACGTTCCATACTTCTTACAGTTTATATGCTAAGATGATCAAACCTTTTCTTTGTATCAATTGATGGGGGATCATTCATATTCAGGTGTTTTAGCTATGTTACTATAACAAAAACTCAAATCTGGGTCATTTATAAATAAGAGGAACTTAGTTTTTCTATTTTTGGAGACTCAGAAGTACAAGCTCCATATGTTAGCATTTTTAGTTGTTCAGTAAAGTCCTGGTTTCAGTTCTTACAGTTGCTTGAATATTGTGTCCTCCAGAGCATATGAGCATTTGGGACCAAAAGGGCAAATATTTCCCATCAAGTTATTTCAAAATAATGTCCAACCCCATTGACTCAGATGGAATTCTCTGGACTCCATGTCATGCATTGAGCATGACGTTTTGATATTAATTTTTATGTAGATAAAGCATCCAAACGAAGACGCTGAGAATATGTTGGTATTACTCTACAGGTTTGGACTTATCCAGGCGAGTTCTGGGGATGAAGGTATTCTCCCGACTTCTGATGGAGCTTACAGGTCAGTAGGACTCCAGGCAATGGAGAAGGGCAAGAACCCTGTGCCTTAGGGCTTCCTTATCACTAGTCCAGGTATGGTCTCATATACATATGCCTCATGTGTAGAAAGGGATACAAATACAAGCCAGTCTAAGACCTTCACACTCAAAAGTCTCTTATAGTTACAAAATATCAGGTCCTTTCTCTCTTGTCTCCATGAAGCCATCAGAGGAAGCCCAGGACCTGGTCTCACCTGATGTTGGGGTACTTTGGGCATGTTTTAGGTACTTTTCTATTGTTGTGTTACAATACTATGATCAAAAGTGTGTGGGGAGGAAACCGTTTATTTCTTTTTACAGCTTATAGTCCACCATCCAGGGAAGTCAGGGCAGGAATTCAAGGTGGGAAGTGGAGCCAGGAACTGATGCAGAAGCCATGGAGGGATGCTTCTTACTGGCTTGCTCCCCATGGCTTGTTCAACTTGTCTCCTCATAGTACCCAGGACCACCAGCTCAGGGATGGCAACAGTGAGCAGGGGCCCTCTCACATCAACCACTGATTAAGAAAATGTACTACAGACTTGCCTACAGGCAAATCTTATGGAAGAATTTTCTCAATTGAGAATCCCTCTTCCCAAATGATTCCAACTTGTGTCGTGTTGACAATCCAGCCAGGACAAAGCATCTATTAAAAGGAAGTCATTTAGCAATCATTTAGCGATCGAGACAGACCACTGTGCTAGCTTAGCCTCTCGGGGACTCTGCCTCATCTGAGGGGGATAACAAAATCTACATGCTAACCAACTCCACACCTTACCGGAGGCTGTTTGAGTTTCTTCGAGAAGACAACTGACTTCTGTCTATCAATCCGAAAGTAAGGGGACAGTAAAATCTTAGAACAGAATGAATGACACAGAAAAGTGTTATTTTACCCAGCAATAAAAGGAAACAAAAGGTCGGTGTAGTCTACTGGAGAGATGGCTCAGAGGTTAAGAGTACTGACTGCTCTTCTGGAGGTCCTGAGTTCAATTCCCAGCAACCACATGGTGGCTCACAACCATCTGTAATGAAATCTGGTGCCCTCCTCAGACTGGCATGCAGACAGAAAACACTGTATACATAGTAATAAAATAAAATCTAAAAAAAAAAAAAGGTCGGTGTAGTCTGGAGGGATGGGGGACCCCACTTTATTAGACTCACTTGCAAAGGAAGCCAGGGCATCTCTGAAGACTACAGTTTCCTAGATTTGGGAGTTAGAAGTCTACTGAAGGCCGGGGAGAGGAATTCACCCATGTTAGACTCATTCAGCTACAGGGAAAGCTTCAGGGATCACAGGAGCCAGGCCTCCAGAGCCCTGAGCCTGTGCCAGGCATTTTGAGACTTGTGGAGGGGTGCAGAGAGGAGGCATCTCTCTTTGGTAGCCTTCCTCTTCACTGTAAGGGCTCTGCCATCTAAGTTTGTCCTTTAAAATAAAACCAACAACAACAAGCCAGAGATGCCGAGGCGCTAGGAACAGGCTGGGGATGTCGGAGGCCGCCAGGGTGACCAGAGTACCTTGGCTCTTTCCTGGTGGGGTCCTGCAGGAGTGTTCAGTGCTGGCTCAAGGCCGTGGCTTTGGCACACCTCCTCTTCTGCTTGGCCTTGTGATCTTTCTGGTTGATAGCATTTTAAACTGAGTGGTCATTTTACATGGACTTTTGTTTGTAGGACTTGCTCCAATCCCAGCTGTACCAGCTAAAGGTGCTGGAACTCACTGTCCTGGAACTCACTCTGTAGACCAGGCTGGCCTTGTACTCACAGAGGTCCGCCTGCCTCTGCCTCCCGAGTGCTGGGGTTAAAGGTGTGTGCCACCATCACCCGGCTCTACTAGCACTTGTTAAGAATGACATTGGAGGCCACAGAACACCCATGAGAGGCCCTGCTGGCAAGGTTCCAACACATAAGCTAATAACTCGGGATGGGGGAAAGACTCTTCGGATTGGAAAAGATAATGCTAATTTAAAATGTGAGAGCTAGAAGCTGTTTATTTGGCTTAGTAGAGGGAATAAAGGGAGAAACAATATAGAGTCATTCGGTATTGGAGCTGGCTGGGATGGAGTGACAGGAGTGTTTATGGAAGGTCCCAGTGAGGAACATTCAGGAAGGTCACCTGGGCGTCTCCACCAGATGCAAGCTTACGCAGCTGTGGCTTTGATACTAATTGGCACAGCACCAAATGCTGACCTTGGAGGGTCCTACCTTCCCCCAGAAGAAAAGAGACATAAGAGTGCATCATTTTGTTTTCTATGTATGCATGCATGTATGTATGCATGTATGTATGTATGAGTACACATGTGCACAAGTGTGATGGTGTACATGCAGCGGTCGGAGGACAGCTTGCTGGAATAGGTTCTCTCCTCCTGCTCTTTGGGCCCTGGGAATAAAGTAGTCAGGTTTAATGACAGGTGCCTTTCCCCACCAGGCCATCTCTCTGGCTCCGTTTTAGCTTAGTTTTCTGGTGCTGGGGATCAAGCCTAGAGCCTTGAGCATTCTAGCAAATGCTCCACCACTAAGCTCTGTCGCTGGTCCTGTTTTTTGACTTCTTTAAATTTAGAGTTCTGGGGTTGATGAAGACGGCTTCCTTCTCAAGAAAGGATATAAAAATATAACCATCAATTTAAGGAACTACATGACACAGGATAGGAGAGGTGCTGGGAGCAGCCCTTGAGGCAGTGGCAGTGGAGGGAGGCCTTCTGGGGGGGGGGCATGGCTGGGGCCAAGCAGGAATGAGACCGAGCCTGGCAGACAGCATGCTTCTTGGGCTGCAGCTGGGGCGGTGCATGCAGAAGGGGCTTATGGAGATTAGAGATCACATGAAGGCCAGATTCCAGAATCTTCCAGCTCTAGGTTAGTGAAGAAAAGCCTGATCCAGTTTCACGTTAGCCAGGCAGCACACACGCTTTGTGAAGAGCCGCAGACAGACCGTGAGGTAGAGTAGGGGCGAGTATCCTGACGTTTCTCCCCGCTGCAGGCTCCTATCCTAGCAGGCTTCTAAGCACATCCTTTTTGGTATTCGCCAGTATCAATCTCCCCGCCCCTAAGCCCATAAAGTCTACTGTGTAATTACCTCCAGCAGGCCAGAGGTCATTTAGAACAGCAAGTGGAGGCAACATCTGGTGATGGGAACTTAAATCTCAGTGCTCTCCCTAAGCTCTGGCCTGAAGTAGGGGCGGTGACAATGGGTCTGTGAGGTTGGTAGTTCTTGCCTGAAGTGAAGGGGGAGCCTGGGCAGACTGTGGCAGGGCCTGTATGGAGGAGGACAGCTCACCCTCCCCAGCCAGGCCTTCTTGACTGGGCATTAGCCGCAGGGCAGGCTGCCCTCAGCAGCTGCCTCCCCCAGAGCACTTTCTCTGACCTTAGCAGGGCTTCCTGGAAGGGAAGCTGGGATGGGATGCAGGCCTTTAATGATTCCCGATGGAATGTGTGGTAGACATGGAGTGCCGAACAGCAGATTCAGTGCATGGGGTCTTCACCGAGCCTCAGAGCAGCCAGGTGGTCACACAGCACCTCCTTCCTGAAAATGGGGAGAGGAAGAGAGAGAGGAAGCTGCGTATGGGCTGTCTTCTGGAAGATGTTCCCTGTAAAGGGCAAATTCTTGGATAAGATGGCGGCAGTCACCAACTTGCTCGGTACAGATTCTCTGTACATTGTCTAAGAGGACGTAGAAGCCCCCTTCTGAAGTCACTTCCTCGTGAGCCTGTTATCGGGATTAAAAATGATACTACTAGGTTGAATTCGCTAGATTTTTGCATAAACTCACCTCGAGGTTCTCTTTCAAAATGCATTTTCTCCAGGATGCAATCAATTCCATCCACTGCTTCATCCCGACTTATTGATAGCAGCGTACCACCCCGAAAGCAGGAGGAGCTGCAGAAGGAAGGCAGCCAGCGGCAACCGATGCTTAAGCAGAGGAAGCAGAGAATGAATACAAGGGCTGCCTTTCCTTCTCCAGGATTTGTCCAAGCCAACACAGACCCCGTCATGCAGCAGCTCCCAGCCCTGGGAACCGGAGACCCAGATCAGCTTCAGGCTCCGAAGCGGATGCTTTTCCAGTCCAGACTTAGGTTGCTGTGCCTTTATGAAGGGAAAAAAACAAACAATACAACATAGCAATGCAGAAGCTTGACCAAGGTCTCCAGCTCCAGCCTGTAGGGCAGAGCTGCTCTGTCTGGCACTCCTGCCTGCACCTTGAGGGCCTTTGTGTTTGAACTTGGCACGAATGCAAGTCTTTTCTCCATGGAGAGGAGACCTGTCTCCCCGGCAGACCAACCCACCGCAGATGCCAAGTCCTGCCTCCACCTACCTCGAGGGAGAGCCTGGCTTCGGCTCGCTCAGCTGCTTCCAGGAGAGAAGTAAGGTGTCCAGCAGGGGTCAGTGCATCCCAAGAAGCCTGACTGGATGGTCCTGGGTGTGCTTCCCAAAGCAGCTTAGTGTAAACAGCCTGAGGGCCTGTGTGTGTCTCAGGGAAGGAAGGGCCTTGAGTGCTGAGGCTGCCACAGAAGAGATTTGGAAGCTGAACTAAAGTCTTCTTCCTAAAGAAAACTGAGACTTATCATGAGATTGTTCATTACAAGCCTGGGTTGAAGAGCGCACACTGGCGAATAGAACGGGGGGGGGGGGGGAGTGGAGAAGCGACGGAGGCTGGTAAGTCTATCCCTTTGCCACAGGGCACTGTCTGCTTCTGCCCTTGTCAAGGAGAAGCTCGTTCAAACCAGCCTTAAGATTTTCCCTCCACCTGATGGGATTTCAAGCTGAGGTCACTGTAGAGAGCCCCGGAAACTCCATTCTGCGCAGACGCAGTTGTCCACCAGTTAATACCGTGCACACTGGAAGCTAGGGGTCACCTGCGCTTTCACAGGGGATCCTCTTCTGGCCTCACCTCGATGGTGATCAGGAAGATGAGATGGGGAGATTTGGAGAAGGGCTGTTTGTTTAGTGATGTTTCTTTGAACAGCATTTATCAGAAGACTGCTATTTCCAGAGG